TTGAATGCCTGTTGCCCGTGCAGATGTTCGGCGCTCCCGCTGTGGCGGGGTGCATGTTTTCCCGGCCCAGTGTTTACACAGTCTCGTTGCAGCTGCGTCCTTCGGGAGAGTGCGACGATTCATTGCATTCCAACACCTTGGCCTCAGTTTTGCCGTCGAAACTCCTGAAATGCCCAGGGCTACACTATTCGGCCTCTCGAGCTCGTCCGTCTGGCCTTCTAGTTGTCGTGGATCGAGCCGATTTGTTCCAAGGCTTCGGAGTACGCCCGCGATTTGCGATTGTTGCAGCCTTGGAAGCTGCCGGTGCGATTTGATTCGAGTGAATTTTGCGATTAAGATCTCAGGCTCCAATGTCGTCTGTCCGCTGCCATTGGCCATGCTGGTCACCTCGCCTACTCTCAGCAGGCAAGGTTTATCACGCGGAGCCAACATGCTGTGCTACGATCTTGCAGGAGTTGCGCTCCAAGGCCACACTTTTGCACGTACTTCTGTCATGGCGTGCTTGGGCCTCGAAGCTTACCACTCCAAAGCCCCCTTTTCATGGATCCAGCTTTGGATTCCTGGGTATGATGCTGAGTGTGGTGGAAGTTTTGTGTGCATAGTCAGTTATTGAGATTAGTGGTGCTACTTGTAGTATTTTGTGATTGCAGTAAACATTGACGGTAGGATCGGTGTGGGGAGGGGTTGTAGTATGTTGTGGACGTGGTGGAGGTGGTGGGGAGTGGGGGGGGGGGGCATGCGTAGCGGGGTAGCCGGCAGGTGCAGGTGGTGGTGGTCGTGGTGGTGCTCTTGTAGTAGGGCAGTGGAAGATCAGCAGGTGGGGACAAGTCATGGTGGTGGTGGCAGTGGTCGTTCAGGAGCCGACACCCTGCGATTTCAAGAGCGAGTCTGTGCGAATTCAGCTGCAGAGACTACAGTACAGGCACGGGCTTCAGGAAGATGGCACGGGGAGCCAGGTGTGCAGGCGGCTGGAAACAGGCATTTGGGATTGCCTGCCAGAACATGCCAGTCTGCGGTCTTCAAAACCAGAGAACCAGTGCCCCGAAAGCGCTTTAGAACAACGAGGGCAACACACCGAACATCACAGTATTGCATCCTTCATCAATTTATCTATCCATCCATTCATCATGCATGCATCCATTCATCCATCTATATCTCCCTACCCATCTAGCCACCCATGCATTCATTCCTTCATCCATCACAGACCCTGCCACAAACCCTTCTATAAACCCGATAACAAACTTTCTATAAAACGTTCGCTTACCATTCTCACACATCATTCAACAAATCCTTCTCCAAACCCGTCTAAAAGCCGAAAACCCTTCTGCACAACCGTGCTATGAAACCTTGTACCACCTACTACAAATCCGTTCATGCATACAACATTCATTAAGCCCTCTTAACCCTTCTGTCAACCCGCATCACTTCTTGCGCAAACCCTTCTGTAAACCCGCCACATCCTTTCACAATTCTAAGACCAAAATGCTTCCCTCCATGCACTGGCGAATTCGGACCATGGCAAAAAATGCTTTCCCTCGTGTGGTGGATGCAAAGGCATGACCAAGATGCTTCCCCCAAGTCATTCAAGACCGCAGCCTAAATGCTTGCGCCCCAGTACTGCGGGATTCAGAGACACAACCAAGATATTTCACCCAAGCCTGGCAGGCCCGGGTTCATCTCGATAACTGAATCAGGCGCAGAAGGAGCTGAGGCTGTCGAGCTCCTCTAAATGACCGGATGTGTTGCATCTGAGGTTCTGGCACTGCAAGCCGCGCAGGAAGCTGCGGAATTTTGTCGAACCGTTTTCTGGCTGGCTGATACTCTACTCAATTGCGAGGGGCGCTTGCGCCGGAGAAGTCCAGGGGGAAGCACCTCTGCCAAGGCACGCTGTAGTCAGCAAGCTCTGTTCTGTTGAAACGACCGCAAGATGTCGCGATCTTGCACGCATACATGGACGAGCCTACTTCGCGGGACTGATGTCTAGAATGTCCCGAGATAAATGCCACAACAAGCAACACCAGATGTTCCCTACACGCGAACCAAGCAAAAGACAACGAAAGCATTGCTTGGTCCGCTTTGCAACTATTCGCGAGCACTAGCACCCGTACGACTAGTATAACTGCAACCAGGACGACAACAACAACTAGTATTACTCTTACTGCGGCAACTACGACTACGACGACGATGACGACTGCTACTACTACTGCTGCTAGCTGCTGCTGTTACAGCTTACTGGTACTCCTGCTGCTACTGCTCCAGCTGCTACTCCTCCTCCTGCTCCTCCTCCTACTACTACTACTACTACTACTACTACTAGTACTAGTACTAGTGCCATTGCTAGTCCTGCTATTCCTAGTCCTGCTACTCCTTGCTCCCCGTAACCTCCGATTCATGTTTCTGCTCCTTCTCCCAGTTAATCCTACTCCTACTCCTACTGTTACTGCAGTACTGCCACTGCTTATGCTTCGATTACGAGGACGACGACCACCATATTGCTACTTGGTGCAGGAATCCCCGCTAGCTGGCCGGCTGAACCGGTGAGTTTGTCCCCTTTGGCCTGCCGGCTTGTCGTGTAATTTCCTATTGGGCTGCTTGCTGAATCGACATGAAAAGACTGGCTCTTTTGCTTGCCTACGTTGGCCTGCCACCACAAGAGGATGCGATCCCGGCACGTGAGGAGCGCCTCCAGGTAGTTTGTCCGCCGGACAGACGGCACGCCACGCGGCACATCGCGGCACGCCGGCCGCCGACTAAAGACCATGAGCCGCGCGTGTGAACCCCGCCTTCTGGCTGGCCATGGCTCGTCAAACAATGGACACGACGAAAACCCCCATAACTCGATGTCATTCGACATGTGTGCTATTTCCCCTTAGTTTGCCTCCTGGACAGGCAACACGACCCCAGGCCAACCCTGGCGTGTTGGAATTTCGAGGTGCGACATGGTGTGGCACTAACGAATGATGGCACCGCCTGGATCAGCGATTTTGATCACATACTCGAACCCTGGACCCCAGCACTAAACGCGGAAACCTTTCTGCTATGCATTCGGGAACCCTCCCGAAGAAGTCATGTGCACACTATTCATGTTTGAACGAACTTCTGCATGCATGGCGGAATAAATTGTGCTGTGGTCTTTTCTTGCATCATTGATTGTGCGGTTTGTGCCTGCCATGTAGCAATGCTGAGGCAGAGAAGCTGCAAGACTCAGAGAGGACTACGCATTTCTGCCAGAAGCTTCCTGACCTGGTAGCTTGTGTAGTCGTCCTAACAGTCCCAACAGCAGGTGGAGCAGAATCGGCATCCAGATGCTTCTCTTGGCACGCCCACCCAGCCTAACTCCCCCACTCATCTACCTGCCCATCAGCACACGGCGCCGATATGCAGTTTCAAACACTTGATGTTACGAAGCTGCTGACGCATCAAGAGAAGCTGCCGGATTTTGTCGGGTTGATTCTGGTTTCTCGTGCGAACTACATTTGCAGGAGCCATCGTGTCTCTTCCGACTTGAGCCTGCAACGCCAGGCTTCGGCAGGGCCATCCATCGGTACAAATGTTACCAACTAAACTAAACGCATTGTTTGCCGGCCCCTTTTCGGTGAAGGTCTTCCTGGCATGGTGTCGGACCGTGGAGGTGTCCACAAAACATTTCATTCACACATCAAACATTTGCCACCTCAAGGCCTTGCGGATGGCAGGGCCGGTTCAAAGTGCTTTAGAGGACGGGGTTGCATGATGTGTTGCCGGTGTCACAGCAACAAGAGGGAAGTTGCTTAAGGACTCTGACTCTTCTTGCCATCCGTTTGAACAGGAGCAAGGCTTCATGCACCGGGAGCCCGGGTACCCATACGTGCCAGCCAGTATACCTGGAGGTCAGCTGAAGCAGTTAACCGCAACTGCCGAGGCTGATGAGGCTGAAGGAGGAAAGCAAGCATCGCGCCATCGATCTGCCGGCGACTCCGTCAGTCAGACTTCCGTGCTCCACATTCCTTCGGCTCCATGTCAGGTTGGAAGTCATGGCGCTCTCTCGAGAAGCAGCTGCGCTGACAGGGGACAGAGGCAAAAGCTGCGCGAGTAAGAAAAGGAGGCATCGTACGTTTTGCATCCAGCCTGAGAGCAGCCCAGCTACACTGCACACTCCTCGGAAGGGAATGCGAGGCGATGCATGTGCATCCTGTGCCTAGCAGCCATGTTGCAACTTTCAGAACGCGAATGCAAACCCACATGTGCAGCTGTTTCGACAGCGAGGTACAACCAAGATATCATTGTCTTTACTCACGCTAGACTTTGACTTCGACTACTCTTCCACCAGAATCCTGCACACATCATTGGATCGGCTGCACCAGCCTGGTCGGTGAGACTGCGGGCCCTGCTTGTTTATTGCGGTTAGCCTGTACTAGCACATCAGGGTGGAGGTGTAGCGATGCAGGAACACTATGGAGCATTTCATCAAGCACTATAACGACCAGCGGATTTGGCCAGTTTGGCTATCCAGTTTGGAAGCAAGTCGTCGGCCTGACTCAGCTAGGAGCTTCGCTGCCAAATGAATTGCATTTTGCTCTTTCAGCCGCCGCCTTGCATCTGCCACAGATTGATTTATGGGGTCTGCATTTTAATGCGGATGACACTGGGAAAGTGCTGGCGCAGTACAGCAGATTTCCAGGTTACCTATCCCCTTGAGACCCCCCTCACCTCAGGAAAATAACTTTCCCAAGATCCACCTGCAATGTGGAGGTCCAAAGCTGGCAAGACTTAAGAGAGCCGACAGCTGACTGCCGTGCAATTTGCACATCACGAGCACCGTGGTTCAAAACATACAGAATGTAGTATGGACAGTCCTGATACACCAGTGTTGAAGCGGACCATGTGATCGTATGCTAGATTCGATAGCTTTGCCCGCACACTAATAGGGCATAGAGGTCTGGGTAGTACCGCAGAATGGCAGAAAGACTGTAAGACGTTGTCGTTTGCTTCATGAAGCGCAAGCAAGCGGTGGACTCCGCATGCTGTGCTGCTTCGCGCGGATGATGGATGCATCGTCAAAGTGGCGACAATCTGTTGAAGGTCCTTGTAAGCAACCGATGCCTACGAGTGATTCAGCAGAATTTGGCCCGTTGCTTATGATTGAATCCTGTGCAGATGCGCTGGCCAAAGTTGATGACAAAAAGGATGCAGCCGTCATCCGCATTGCAGAGGACTTCGTGGAGGCCATACGCAGTAAATTGGTTTGCAACCAATCCCTGCGCAGACAATTTCGAATCAAATTATTCTCCCGCATAGTTTTCAGGCGGGTTTTTAGGCAGGCTATTTCAGCCTGCGGGGCGTCGCTGGTTGCTATTGCACATGCACGTTTCTAAGCATTCCTTGCACGGCAGTCTGAGTCTCGCTGTTCCGAGTAGGAAGTCGGGAGCAGTTCAGAGTGTTCATTAGTCTCATTTCTTCGAGGTTCTGTATGGTAGGATAGGTCTTGCAGGCTTGCTTGCATCCTTGGCTCAGCAGGCTCTCGCAATGAAGTCTCGAAATGCGACGTCCTTGTCCCCCTAGCCTTCATGGCCGTCTCAAGTTGCTCGCCTGACTCCTGCAACCGTCCCGATCGAGTGCGGACAGTCTGGCAAAAGTGCTGCTAAGTAAGAACTTCGGTGAGGCTTGCCGAGCAAATTTAATGCCAGAACTGGCGTGGTGATGCAGCTGAGCCGTGACCACCGAATAGTGGCTGTAGTTTTTGTAGTAGTAGTGGTGGTAGGTGCAAATCCTTTTAACACAAGGCAACCAAGACATACAGTGGACAATGGGGGCTGGGGCACTGGCGACAGCGAACAGCAAGTAGCGGCAAGGAAGCACGATCAGCACATCCCAGAAACAACTGTGCACAGCACCAAGGGCCAACCATGTACTGTCCGAAACTTCGGCGAGGATGACCTTAACGGCTACACGATCTTGCAGGCATTGTCTCCGGCAGAGAAGAAGGCCGATCAGGTTTCGAAGCGTGGATATATGTGGTCTCCATGCGCTGCGCCAGGCCTTGGTTGAAGAGTGCACGCCAGTGCCGTCGATGAACCAAGCGATGGGTGCCTTGTGTGGCATGGCCGTAGGCGAGGCGCAGAGCCTGGTTACCCAAGCGCTGCGTGAATTTTGTTGTTGCAGGCGATGCATTGGGCCACCCCTTTGAATACATCACAGTGACAGATGTCCCTGGCACTTCCCGCTTTGACCTTGCTACATTGGAGTTCCACGGCGAGTTCAATAAATTTGGATGCAAGCGGGGCCAGTGGACAGACGACGCATCAATGGGTTTCTGTATGGCGGATTCGTTCATCGTGCGGCAATCATTTGACGGCGGTGATCTGCGCCGTCGCTTTTGGTGCTGGTGGTTTCGTGGCTACAACAATGCCTTTAGGAAAGATGTTGAGCGAGAGTCTCGAAAATCAATCGGCCTCGGGGGCAACACCCAGAAATCCCTGGAGCCATTGACGGCATGTGCTGACACAGGCTGGGACTTCTTGTCCCTAAAAGCTTAAGCCATTATTCTGTCACTGGTCGCAGGTGTTCCACCAGAGTACGAGTCTACCAGCGAGGATGCTGGCAATGGCAGTTTGATGCGGCTCTGGCCTCTGCTGGATGATGGCCTTCTCCGTAACTCATGTGCTGAGTCACGTTAAGGTTGGCAGCTGTGCCCATATTTTTTCATGCTCTTCCGCTTCAGGATCTGTACAGCCACTGCCTCAGCTGTATCGCCTGAGATTCAACTCTAGACCACAGGCTGGATGCGCCTGCAGGTGTGGCGAGAAAGTCATCACTAACAACGCATCCGGGATTTGTTGCGGCCGAAGCCTGTGCTTTTCTCGCTCACGTTGTGCCGGGCTGAGCCTGATGCAGTGGCGAAAGATCAAGTTTTGTTTGTGTCACGTGTGCGTCTGTGTGCGCGCCTTAGTTTTGTCAAACGCGTGTATTTTCTTGTGGCAAAATAAAATGCCCCTTGTGTCTCTCTATTCGCCCCAGAGCTTTCCATGGTCTTGAAGTGCGCATGCAGCAGCTTCGTGCTTCACACATGCCATCCTCTGCCGGTGGCCTCTATCTGAGCGCCGCAACAATAAATCCCTGAAGGTCAACACTCCCGAAAATGACCAAGGTTTCTAATCCCATCTTGCCCTGCCACGGGAGAGGAAAAAAGCCCCGCCAGGCAGCAGCACCAGTTGGGAAACATGTAGCGATCGTATGCGATTATCAAGAGAGAATTAGCGAGCATGAGCTGCATTTCAAGCAAAGGTGCAGCACACAAGTCGCAGTATGTGCATCGTTTGAGACTTCATCCAGGTGCGGCAAGCTATGCGTTTGCCACCTGGTTCAACAACGGCAAGAGAATTCCTTGATGGTGTGTCCCAGGACACTTTCAGGGGAGGGAGAGGGAGCGGGAGGCAAGGTAGAAGTCAGGAACCCGGTCGCGGCAGGAGTTCTACGTGACTTCGGGCCTGGCGAGCCAGAGCGGTCCTGGTTTCGATGAGATGCAGTGGCCTCTTGCATTGCAAGGAGAGCCAACGAAGAGGGAGGGAGAGGGAGACGGAGAGGGAGGCAGGAGGGAGGGAAAGAGGGAGGTGAGAGGGGGAGGGAGGGAGGGAGGGAGGGAGGGCCGAGCCATTACCTATGCAACACGGGGCGCACATTCGAACCAAGCGGAGGGGAGACGCTTGCCTGAGCCTTCCCGAAGGGTCGACAGACCGAGAAGCAAGCGAGCAGCAGAGTATGTGAAGAATATTTTAGTTGACCTGACTTAACAAGACCACACTTCGCCTCGAGGTTAGTCTCTTCCGAGCCGGTTCGCGACACTGAACGATGCTGGAATTGGAAACACGAAACTTTAGACATCGCTGGGACACTGGCTGCACGTGGATGGAGCTACAACGGCTACCCAGTTTCCGCGGACTATTTCGGCTCTTACTCGTGCCCGAGTTGCATAAAGATCATACAGCCACTGCAATCTGGAAATGTCAATTACCAGGCCTGATGTCTGAATCGCCTTGGTGCGCAATGTGTGTCTGTTTTGGTGAACAAGTTGGGAAGCGAGGGGCAGGGGGTGGGCGTTTGTTGTGTAGCCGTTTCGATCACAGTGGAATTTTGTAAGGATTCGCGAGCGGATGTAGATATCGTGATATTTCGAATCAACAAATGAAAAGATAATCAAATTCAGGAGTACGCAACCTATTCTGCCAACATGTTTAACGGCATGGAACGTGGCATGCAGGCCAAGTCAGAACCAATCCCAGGCGTTCGGTAGATTACATGAAAGGGCAGAACTCACGCTTTGGCGCTTTCCCACCGGTTGCGAAGGTCTACGTGTCTGCACACTGTCAATCAAGTAGCTCAGATACTCTTCGGTGTGGGACCATGTCACCACAAACCCGAAGTGGAATCCTGTGGACGACCAGCATGGATGGAATGATGCCTTCAATACCAGGTCCTGAGCCAGTCGGCAGCCTAGACATTGGGAAACGCAAAGGTAGAGCAAGCTGCGCATGCCGAGCGGCAAGAGAGGTGAAAGGCCGCAGAGTCCGCTCAATGAAATGAAGGTTCACAAGGAGCCGCTTCATCCAAGATCGGGAAGTGAGGAATTTAGGGAGACGGTTCGGATCGGACCCGAAGGGTCGGTCAGATCAGATGCACAAGAACATGAGCCCGTCGGAACACACTTGCGTAGTTTTTGATTGCCATCGCACCCGGCAGCCAGCAGGGCAGCGAAGCTTTATTGACGAGATCGCAATGCTTTGGGTAGCAAGCCTAGCATCTTGTCGGTTTCTCGACGTGTCGTAAGCTGTTTGTCGCAACGGCAAGGGTGATATATCCGCAGCCGTGCTTCTCGAGCATTCCGTTCCGTTACCCGACGGTGTGCCAGCTTCTTGGTTAGGCTGCTGCACGGCTTGATGCCGCATTCTTCCCGTTCCTCGTCTCCGTCCCGCGCTCGTCACCGACGGCGTAGGGACCGTAGACGAAGGAGCCCATCGAGCTCAACCAGCCGGTCTCCTAGCAGGAGCCCGTCCCGACGACTTCCGCGAAGGCTCGTCCGATGCTGTTTGGCCTTATCTGAGCTGCCTTGGTGTTTTTCCGGCAGGTCGCCAGAGTCGGTCCGCCCCCTTCGGTGGGTGCCTCAGCCGCTCTGGTCTCTTTCTGGTCTTTCTGCTCTTCCGCCCAGGCCCGACCCGGATAGCCATCCTCCGGTCGCGTTTGCCCAGGCCCGGAAGCCGCTGTTTCCGTCCTTGCTTAGCTGCAGTCTGCTGCAAGTTGACTCTTTTGCTTTCGCTGCAGCTGCTGTCCACACTCAAGCTTTCAGCATTCTTTCGCTTTCTATCGCTGACGCCATGGCTCTCATTGGTGGTCTGCACCCTCTCCGCGCCTTGGCCCGGCTCTCCGGCGCCACTAGTGCTTCAGACCCGAACTCTGCCGGGTCCGATTCCGCGGCTGGTGGCATTCCGGCGGCCGCCCCTGCCGGTCAGCCGACTGACGGTGCTGCCGTGGCCGCTCCGGCTGCCGCTGGTGGAGATGGTTCCGCCGGCCCGACTGCCGTTGCCTCTGGCTCGGCCCATGACGGTTCTGGCGGCGATGGTGCAGCTGTGCCACCCGCCCCTGTCTCGAAGTCGTCCGGCGCGGCTTTCTTGGCTGCCGCTCCTGGGCCGCCTCCGAAGAATCCGCCCCAGCATCCGCCTACGACAGCTGGTGTTTCTGCGGCGCCGCCGGCCCGGAGCAGCTTGTCGTCCGGCATTGACATCCGCGACCCGAGCTACCGCCCCAGCTTCCCGAAGGCTGCCAGTGGCTCTGGTGATGGTGGCGCTTCCTCGTCTGCCCCGGCGGCCTCTGGATCCGGTCCGCCGCTTGGTGCCCCCGCCCCGGACTCCGTCGACTTCAGCGATCTCATCAACTTTTCCGACGACGCCATTTATGCCGGCCTGGCCGATCTTCCGGTCAGCCACTTGGTGCGGATCAACACGCTGGTCTCCGAAGTCACGTCCGACCAATTTTACGCTATTTTCAACCTGACCCAGCTCGACATCGAGACTCCGACCGGGCAGTTGCAGATGGCCGGCCCGCCTCCGGACCGCGGCCAGTACCCCCCAGACCATCGGTCCAACCTCCGTGGCATCCCCGACGGGCCACGTTTCCCGGACCGCTCCGGGCTGATGCCGTGCACCGCGCTCTGGACGCCAATGCCGTTCCGCCCTTCGCCCAGACCCGCCCCCCGGCCCTCACGGACACCTCGTCCATCCCGCCCGGCACCCCGCTCGTCCACAGCGACCCGTCCCGTGATGACGAGGAGCCGGAGTTCGATCCGAACGCCCAGCTCACCCCCCGCAGCTCCGCCACCGGCCCGTGGTGCCGCTCCGAGGGGTGGAGACGGCTATGCATTTTCCTCCCCGCCACTCCCGCCCGCTCGTCCGCACCGACGCGTGGCCCTATCCCGAACTCTTCTGCTTGGAAGAGAGGGACCTTCCGCCGTGGGTCCCTCGCCAGCCGCCCCCCCCGGCCCTGGAGCATCTCACCGTCCGGGCCTATTGCACCCATGATTGTCCGGCCCGGGGTTCCCGGTGTCTCCGCATTTGCCTCCGGCCCGTGATGTTATACAGCCGGACCGAGCACACGGGCCACAAGTGCCCGTACTGTTTGGCGGACGGGTTGTAATCGCTCCGGCCGTCCGGCCCGCATGGCACTAGCAGTTCTAGCATATACGGTTCATGCTTCGCCCCGGCCTCGGCTTTTACGTCCCGTCCCGCCTGTGATTCATATGATTCCGACCTGCTGGTCCGCGTGCACTTGCCGCCCTGCCAGCCCGCAAAAACTCTGACCGTTGCATGCAACTGCTTGTCTTGTGTTTGCTGCCCTTGCCGCCACCTCCTGACCAGGCTGGGCTCGACTCTGACGTCATCCAGGTCGCGTTTTGCTCTGTGTGCCGTTGCTTTTCTAGTTCATTTCCCGTCCTGTCAGGTGCGTGCTCAATGTCCTCGGCCGGGTGCCCAGCGGACATCGTCGGGCTCAGGAATCTGCTCAAAACTTACGACTTAGGTTGTGTGCTTGCGACGAGCCATTCCCCTCTCTGCACAGATCACTGCTGAGCAGCGACAAGGAAAAGTGCTTGCTTCAGTGTCTACAAAGGAAGAGAGTAGCCCTAAAAGTCCCTGTGGGTTCACTTTCCGGGGTGGTTTTGTGTCGTTTTTTTCGGGGTTTGGTGTTTTTAGGTATT